CATATGTTAAATGACCTTCTAAGGTCATTTGAACTTTGAAATGACAAATGACTAGTCATTTGTCATTTGGGTCATTTCAGGTCATTTACCATCCCTGCACGTAAGTACGTACGCACCTTCAATAGATATCTTTCATGTTGTGCATTACTTACAATTACGTGCTTTATTTATTATCGCGATTGAAGCTAGAATAGGGTTGAGAACCAATTCCATAATCTAATTATTTAAAATCTCTGGGATTATGCAATATCCACAATCAGTGTTGGAAATTCATAAAACAGCATGATGATTTCTGTGAACATACTTTATGTTCGCAATAAAAAAAAATAATGATCATAGATAAATTATTTATGTTCACAAATGTGAACATAAAATAAAAAAATTTTGATTTTTTAAAAAATTTATGTTCTTGTGAACACTGAACACTGTGAACATATGATTTCCAACACTGTCCACAACTCGCATATTTCGTGTATCGATATTGCATAACACGCGTACCAAATCATAGTAGATAGTATATCATTGCGTATTAGTATAACATTCGTGCATACAATAAAGTCGAGATGTCTAATACATTTTTTATATGTGCCTCGACAGGTCACTATGTGAGTGCTGCCGAGAGAAGAGGAGATTTTGGATTTTAAAGGCTTCTTTTACCGGATCCAGCCCAGATTTGTGGTTATATAAATATCAGATATATGTTATCATCAGATTTTAAAAAGTTGAATCCTACAAAAAATAAACGATATAATTAAAGTCTAAAGCTTTATTTTCCTTTATTAGCATTTATATAAGACAACGGTTCTTGCGTATTCATGTAACAGGTAGCATTTGTATATGATGTTTATTCTTACCATATAGCCCGTCGTTTAACGGCGGGCTCTAATACTAGTAACCATTCGAATTCGATTCTCATTTTTGACGGGATATTATTTGCTGAAAATTACGGGGATATAAAACGAGATATAAAAACATACTTGTTTAGGTTTGAAGTGTCATCATCGTCTTCTGAATCTGAATCACTGAGCGTGTATGGCTATCAATGCAGACTGAACATTGCTTATTAAAATTTTCATTCATCGTTACCTTGTTAAGTGCTTTTTTTAACCCTTTTGAGTCTTTGCGGAAGTTGAATTGTATATGATCTGAATACGGATTTGCTACGTTAAATCATTCACACAGTAACCTAATTGGATTGATTTTGTTTCGTAAGTAAACAGAACATATTCAATTTTGCTGTAGCTTCTGCTGTTGATTCAGAGTCAATTTGATTAATATCTTTTTATTTAATTGGAGTACTATTTGTATCATGTCTAGCATCTGCTTTTAGACCAGGAATAGGCCGTTTAGCAGATCGTGTGCGCTAATGATAAATCGAAATGCAATTATTTTTATATTAGGCGAAATACTCTCTAATCTCAATATACAGTAGTTATTGGGTTGATAACTAGGTGATAGTGCCTATAGTATTTAAGCTTCTTATGTTTTATGATATATATGTAATTCTGTAATTGGTAAGCCAAAATAATAATAATATTGTAGAAAAAATGTAGTTTATACTGGGGATTATTGATAACCCTCCTCTATTTATAATTGTTTTTAGTTTTTTATCAAAATTTAGGTTAGGGTGCAGTTTCATACTGAAACAGGGGTTAGATATAATAGTCCAAATTTTAGATTACACAAGGTTTTGGGGTTCTGACATTTTTACTTAACTTACCTGACCCTGTTTCTTAGTTAATTTATCATCCAGATATCAATAACCCCAGTATAAATGATAAATATTCAATATTGATTATTATTATTTTAATTTTTCATAATTTGTGTCTATATCAAAAGTGACTATGTTCCTAAAAAAAATACATAGTTTCTTTGAGAATAATGTAGCTTTTTAACGATTCATAAGTTGTTAACATACGTATATAAGCGATGGATTGAAAGAGAAACCTGTAAATCATGCTTTCGAATATTTACTTTTAATATACAGTAATATACAGTATATGGGGGTAAGTCAGTAGAAATTAATCAATTGTTTTTATTCATTTTTTTTTTAACCTTCAAACACCAATAACTTAACAAAATCAAATTTAATAAAAAATTTTTATTAAATTTTGATTAAGTTTTTTATTAAGTTATTGTTGTTTAAAAAAATTAGAAAAAATTTGCTTGATTTCTACTAAATCAACCCCATATCTTAAAGTAATTAAATACTTAAGATTTCAATATCATTCGAATCGTTTCATTAAGACGATTCAAATGTTATTAACATAAGTTACTTCGTCACTCGTAAAATGTAGCTTTTTAAAAATTTATAAGCTATTAGCTCTGTACGTATATATTTCTTGTTTTTCTTATTGTTTTCAAAAGATATAAACTAGCAATTTTTAAAATAAAAATGTAAAAATAGCTAATTACTATATATATAGTGATATTTTTAAATTGGCAAAATTAGTATTTGATACTTTAGACAACCTATATCTTAGCATTTTAAACAAGCCTTTCTAATTTTAATATTGCTTTTTAATCTTTAGCTTCTAGCTCTAATTCCAAATTCGAATAACAAAATTACTATATACAGCATATAATACTAATAATTTCTTTAAAAATCAAATCTCAAACTACGAGAACTAATTCAGTTTATATAGTAAAAATCTAACCGGTTTAACATCTCTAAGTACTTATAATATAGCAGCTTTTCAGCTCTCTCTTTCATTTCGCAAATTTTTACATGAAGAGTTAACTAAAGTATACAATATATCATGTGAATGTCATATGATTTATGTTCAAGATTTTCCGAATCTCTGATACAAACTAAGGAAGCCAATCAAATAATTTATCAAATACCTTAATTTGCTGATAGTTTAAATCTAGAGATCACAATGGACAGAAAGAAGGTCATAGTAACATGTAGGGATGACTAAAGACTTATAAACTTTCATCTTTCGTATATTAACTTTTTTTTCGTTTCGTAGATCTCGATGAGTATGCCATTTGGCCAAAAATCGCTGATGATTTCCGTACTCACCTTCCCCTTCGCAATCTGCATTGGAAATCTGCAAAAGGCTCAACACGTAATATAATGGTTTTGGGCGTAGATCTGAAACGTTTCACACCAGAAAATACTGAAAAGCCACACATGATGCCCGAGACATTACTAGAAAAGCCATATCTCAATTTATACTTTGTCAATTGTGATGTGAGTTGGATCAATAAAAACACCCACCTAGATTCTTATTCGATTTTCGCCATTTGCACTTATACAATTTCTTACTTAAAGTACTTCATTTTTACTTTCCGTATACGGCGAAATATCTTATTTATTTGTAGGATAATGAAATATACCGTCAAACTGTTCGCCAGAAAATTCGCGATTGGGTCAATATTGTTACTGCTCCCTTAAAGAAAAATCAAGAATGGTTGATAGTTTATGTGACAAAACAAGAAACTCTTCGTGCTGCTAGATATTTTAATATGAAAGGAACAGTCTTTGATAAAATTAAAACTGATTTTAATGCTTCCAGGCGTGATAGGCAAGTTGCATAATATATATATATATAATCTTTATTTTCTTTTCTTTTTTCTAATCTTACACTTATATTATAGATGTGTCCAACTTCGACTATCTGATAATGATGCTGACGAATACGAATCATGGCAGGAGCTTATGACTAAAATAAAAGAAGGTATATTGACTAGTTTCGATCAACATGTGAGCCAATATGAAGAAGACATTCGAAGATTTGATTCGCAAAGAAGCATGATTGGCTGGAATTATTGTACTTTTTTTGTTCTAAAGGTAATTTAATATTTCTCATTTTTCCTATTAGTTAAGAGTAGTAATACAAGAATGCTTTTATACAAAATGTTTACTTATACAATTGTCCATGACTAGGAAGGATTGGCTTTAACATTTGAAGTTTTTAATTTGTATGAGGAGGCCTTAGTTCAATACGATGAATTAGAAGCTTCTTTTTTCCAAGTTCTGAGAGGTACGAATGATTAACGGTTTTACTAAATCGCACCAATAAGGTGTTCAACACCACAGTTGCTATATCTTAAAACGTACTAGCTAACACACATACGGGGTACTAAGAAAAATGTTCAGCACTCTCAAAACCTCACCCTAACTAAAATCTAAACTATATCTTTACCATAGTTGAGGTTCCCTAATCTAAATTTACTATTAAAAAATATATGTGGTGTTGAACGCATTGGTGTGATTTAGTAAAACTGATAATTAATTAGAAATTTTGAACTATTATTATTCATATATTTCTTACGCATCTCAATTTAATTAGATAGAGCACTGGCATGGTTTGGTGATTTTGGTGCCACAGACGTCAAAGATGATAGTGCCAATATATTGGACGTTAAGAAAAAGCCGTATCGTGACCTTATGAGGCAGAATAAATTACCAGAGTTCGACTTTAGGTGCTATCTTTTTGCAAGGCAATGCCACTTATTGGGGAGGTTACAAAGGCCAGTAGAAATTTGTCGGAGAGCACAACTTTTCATTTCTACATTTGGGAGGGCAATAAAAGAGCATCAAGCAAATGTTGGTGAGCATTTCTTGGAATCATGGATTTATTCATCATGTATGAGTGTGGTCAGCGAATGCGAAGAATTGGCCCCATTAACTTCCTTGGATGAATCTACTTCGAGTGCATTCAATGCTGCTAAAGGAGAGCTATTGGATTTGGCTAGGAAGCAGGTAACATTTTATTGTTTTGGAATACTATTACATATGTATACTTCTTTTTTTAATTTACTTTATTTATTATAGCTTGATAAGTTAGGCATTCATTATGGCCATTTACCTGCCGCACTTCCATTTACTACCGCTTTAGATGAAGTATCACTTCCAACATCTCCAGCTTCTCCATCTTCAGAGAGTGAATCAAAAAAAAAATTCTCGATAACCAATGAGGAACTGAAGGGAGCTATTGAATCAGAAGATTCCGCTGCTTTTGATTTATTGTACTTAGTAAGTTATTCTTTCATAAATATATGTATATATATAAAAGGGTCTTTATGATGGTCCCGTATAATGAAAATTCAATGCGATAAAACAGCAATTGACAAACAGAGGCCTTAAAGCTTATGAAGGGACTCGACTTCGCAGTTCATATCGTCTGCAGGGTGATGTCGCTGCCTTACAATTGTAAGTTCCTTCCCAGTTATATTTCTAAATTTGGTATACTTTGTATATTAATTTCTTGTTATAAACAGTCACCGCAAAAATTTTGAGAGTGCATCACAGCTGATGGAAGATTTACCATGTGCTTATGGTGAACAAGGGTGGACTGTTGTTGAAAATAGTCTTTTATTCAAGTATGCTGAATGTCAGAAAGAATTGGGTCGAACTAAGCAATATCCTTAACATTTATGAAGATACTCCCTAAATTTTCTCCTTTTTTATATGCAACCAAATCCTTAATATATTTAACACATATGTATTATCATGTTTATCGCTGCTGAAGAACCATACTTTATTATCTGAAGAAGAAGCTATTTTTTATATGGAAGAAGTGAAAAAATTGTGTGGATCTCTTGAAAAAGACGAAGGTAGAAATCAAACATATATATTCCATGAAGATTCAATTCATTATTATTTATTAACGTAAAACCGTTGGAAATATTTGTAGATATTGTTAGGCCCTTTAAACCAATGTTTCTAGTCACAGTAACAGATATAGTCGACGATATAACAGATGCAGATGGACCATATTTGGCGGTTGAATTGACAAATTACTTGCCAACAGTTATTATCTACTCTATAATTTCTAACAATCTACGCGTTTTTATATTGGCAAACATTCATAAAATCTTTTAATATTAATAGCCATTAACATTCGATCAACTTGCCATTCGTTTGGTAAGTGGTCAGAGCGAAGAAATTTGGTTTGAAATTCTAAATCAGGAATTTAAACATGGATTGAATACATATAAACTATATTCTGATGTAAGTGTAGTTTGACATATATTTATATTTAGGAAAGCATCATTATTATTATACGACAGTGTGATACCTGAGTCGCGAAATAGTGAAATCCGCTGTGATCATCACATGAGGGTGAAATCCGCTTTTATATAATAAAAAACATAATAAAACCCGGATTTCACCCTAACCCGATCTAAAAAGCGGATTTCACTATTTCGCAACCAGGTTTCACCCTGTTCTATTATTATTGTTGTTTTTAAAATGTCTATTTCTGGACGAATATATTTTTAGAACAGTGCATCAGGAAATTACGTTGTTGAAAATGTTCGCATGTCCGTAGGCAAAATAGTTTTTACACACAACTTTTTAAACGAAAGTAAAAAAAGGTTTTTCAGAATTAATGAACATCCTGCGGTTTTGAGAGCTCAAATAATAGCTCCGGAAGAAAGTAAGCCTTGATATTCTTTATTCGCATTCTTTTTAATTATTTGTATTTTGACATATTTATTCGTTTAGTTAATATCGGAGAGCAGCAATATTTTCTCGTTCAAATATTCACTGGCCTGACTAGTGTCACTAAAGGTTCATTAATATTGGAACCTTTGTCTGAAGGGTTAACATTTCCAACGACCAACAAATATCATTCCGTCACTAGATCTGTTAATAGTATGTATTCATTAAAGATTGTCACTGCTGATACTGATTTTGGCTGATGCTGATTTTTGGGGTCCCAATTTGGGCCCTACACTATTTAAACCCACTTACACATATCAACGCATTTATGAAATTGTACTAAAAAATATATGTAATTTGACATTTTTTAAATTTTGAATAACTTTTGATCTATTGATCCATTATTGATGATTTTACTACTAAAATATTCGTCTTAATAAGACGATCCTAACAAGCTCAAAATCATCAAAATCCAATTATTAGATCCCGAGATCGTTAGCACCACTTTTATAGGTTTTTTTCTTTTGTTGCAAAGTTGACGCACCTATGAGGTGAGGAAATGGACTAGACGCAGTCTAGCACATTTCTCCCACCCTATAGGTTCGGCACCTATGCAAAAAGAAATTTGATGGTTTTGGGCTTGTCAGAATCGTTTTATTAAGACAAACATTTGGTAGTAAATCATCAAAATGGATCAATAGATCAAAGGTTATTCAAAATTAAAAAAAAAAAAAATCAAATTACATATATTTTAATACAATTTCATAAATGCGCTGTTTGATTTTTATTTTTTTTTTTATATACAATTTTAACCCCAAAAAAATGATCCCAAAATTGTAAAACTCTATATTAAAATAACCCCAAAATTGTAAAACTCTATATTAAAATAACCCCACAAATCAGCATCAACGTCAGATGTGACGAAAGATTAATAATAAATAATATGCAGTTGCGTCCCATTCAATCATTTTTAATAAGAAAAAAATTGCATATGCATTGGTACTATATACTTATCGAAAAAATGTTTACGCATAATTTAAGACTTGCAACAGCTTAAATATGTCGCGTATTTGTTTGCTAATATATCAAATGGTTTGATTATCGGCATAGTTTACGTTTGGAGATTTTTCTAATTTAAATTACCAAATATTGGATTATCATTGAATGATTGATCATATGATGCTATATTCATGGAACATTAAAAATTTAGTTAGATTCCATTTATAATAATTAGCGCTCATTATCAAATATATATGTACCAGAATATACTAAAAACATTATTCATTTTTATAGATGATGTAATATCACAAGACTTTCTTTCGGAGGAAGATTTGGAAGTGTTGGAAAATGGGCATATAGAATTACCTTCTTTGAGTACGAACCAATTAAGCCAGTTCAAAGTACCATACGATTGTAATTGGGGTGCTGTTGAACATAAGGTTTTATTATTATTAAATCATAATATTGCTCTATATAATTGCTTTGCCAACTCTTAATCCCTATCCATTTTACAGGTGAAAGTTACTGTTGAATATGAGAGTAAAGGAAAATCGCGTGTATTCACATCCTTAGATACTGTCAAAGTTTGGTTACCTTTATCGGTTACGGAATTAAACATTTTTAGAGATGATTGGTAATATAAATCTGAATTTTTTTTCATATTAGTTTAACAGCATCTGAATGAAATTATAACATTATTATTTTAAGTTTATTCGTAAAGATGGACATCACGTTAAATGGAAGTATTCCGGTACGAATTCTTGAAACATCCCTGGCTCCGTCAAAGGTGTATGATGTGGTGGATGACCCAGCTGTATCGACACCGGTTATAGTAAGCTACATAATAATGCCTATTCTATCATTCCGCTTTAAAAATTAATTTACTAATATTAATGCTACCCAACGATTTCTATCCAAAGAATTTATTTGCCAAGCAACATGCCTCATTTGTTTACAAATTAACTAGATCAAAAGGTATTATAATTGAACAAATGATTAATTCTTAAAAATTAGTTAATCATATGATTTCATATCTTGAAATTCATAGATTATGATCATGGAGAACATGCGAAATCACCAAGTACTAAAGTTCATTTCGTAGTCACATACCGAACACTTCAAAATGGTAGTAAATTGTTTAACAAATAATCTACGAATTACTTTAATTACAAAATTACATTTTAATAATTTCAATTATTTACAAATTTTCTTTTTATGATTAGAGGTGGAGAAATATATTGAGCATACTTTAAATAAGATTTTGAAAGCCAGAAATTTATTACAACATTCACGGTTCCTTCTCGAGAATGCTAAAGAACATTTACTTAAATCAGTAGACTATGTCTCATATGGAATGTCAGATATATTAGATTTGGGTGAATTGGATGTTTCGCAGTGTGTGGCTTTGTTTACGAGCCATGGTAGTTTCAAAGAATCGTTAATAGAGGTTGTCAAGGAATTTTGGCAGGTGAAGACAGTCGTCTTTTTTTTTTTAAAAAAAAAAATCTGACATTAGATATAAACTATAATTAATCTTTAATTAATAACTAAATTTTATAATTTTAACACTAGGTCTGCAATAAAGCCGTTTATGATGACATTGCAACTGTTGCTAATCATATCAAATCCTCAATATCATTTCCTGTTGATGTACCTTCATCTAAAGTATGAAAACAATTTTCTGAAACCTCGTTTTATTATTTTTATTGCTCAAAACCAAATTTATTTTCACTTATAACATTAGGTGCTAAATACTGTGGAATTGATTATATCAAAACCTAATGATTTGGTAGTTGGAGAGCCATGTCATTGTCGCTTGATTATTCGACATTCATCATACTGGAATCATACATCATTAACAGAGCACAAAGACACTTTTGAATTCTTTTATGATGTTCATGTAGATTTTGATAATTGGCTATTAGCTGGGCATAAGAAACTATGTTTCTCATCGAAAGTTTGTTTTCATAAATTTATTATTATAACTAAAGTTTAAGCCGTGTCACTCTAAATTTAATATAAAATTTAAACTAACATAGGTTGGGGAAACTAAAGAATTTCCAATAACCCTTGTCCCTCTGAAAACAGGAAGCCTTCTTGTACCCCTCATCCGAATTGCTAGTCCCTCTCAAAATATGTTTTCTGAAACAGTTTATCTTAACAATGCCGAACAAGTTCTCGTCCGACCCCGAACACAATCTGCGACATTCTTTATTGAACAGCAACATCGAATTCATTCTCTTCATTCAGCTACCGGATTTGGTGCACCTGAACATCATAATGATTCGGGTCTAGATGAGATTAATATGGATTGAAAAGGCTTTATTGTTTATTTTGTCTTTTTGGTCTCACATAGGTCTATGTATTTTTTAATTTTTATTTATTATAGTTACGGAGGTACGCTAGATGATAAAAAAAAAAAAAAAAAGCATTATAAAATGATTTCATATTGCAATTAGTTGTTGCTGTGCATGTGCTTTAAAACCATGTTATAGTAATTTAATCAAAATAATTAGTTGTATCGATATTGGTAAATTTATTCAAAAAGTTATATTAGTATATAAAAGATTTAAACAATTGGCAATAGTGTATATATTGCGTCTGGAGTAGCTGTATACTTAGATATTTAAACATAACGGAAACTTTGAATTTTTAAAATATTATGAGAAACTCGCGAAAAAAAGGAAAAAAAGATATTTTGATAGTTTTGATAGTTTAGATATAATTTGAGATTTTTAAAAATTAAAATACACGTCACTCTGGTTATATCAACACCTCAAAAAAATAAAATAAATTGTCCGATACACCCAGATATCAGTTTAACCAGAGGCATTTTTATATTAAATTTAGAGGTTCAAAATTTTAAAAATGTTAAAGCCAGATGTCAATATAACCAGATTGGTATATATAATACCAATATTGAACAATATTGTTATTTCTTAAACTGTATTTTAGGCAAATTTGCTTGGAAAATTAAATTCTATTTAGTATTTTTTATATAAAATAATTTAATAATAATATGGGATATATATTTATTATAGAATATATTTTAAAAATATATTATTTTTTTAAAATTATTAATAAACTTTTGAGTAATAAAATTTTAAAGTTTTTATTTAAAATTTTTATTAAAATTTTTTTAAGATTTTATGTTTTCAAAAATAAAAAAAAAATGTTTTTAATATATGTATAATAAAACTTATTCTTTATATAAGATAATTTTGTATTAAAAATTATAGTTTTAAAATTAATATTTTAAAAGTTAGATATATACAGTCAGTAATGTATATTTTGACTTCCAAAGGCTTTTTTGGCACTGTTCAATGTCTAAGTATCACAAGTGTTCAGAACATGTACAAGTTTTAATAATTAAATTTTTTTTTTTAACTAGCCTCTTTGGCATGAGAGATTTATTCAAATATTGCTAAGTAGGAGGTTTATAGCTGAAGCTTCAAAGGAATCTTCTTTATATTAAAGAGTACAATTAGCTATACATACAACTTTTGATTGCCTATTTAAGTAGTTTGTGTATCATTATTATATTATAGAGATTACATTAGATGCTATTATAACATAATTATTAGCTCGACAGAGTACAATGTGATGATTGCATGGTCACATGATCATGATCACGTGATACCAACGAACTAACAAACTTCTTGCTTATTTATTTATTTATGAAATTGGTACTTTATTATCGTTATGCATAGATTGTTATACATAATGTTGTTAGGATAGTAATTTATTTCAAATGGGTTTTGTAACAAGGAGGGTTTGTAATAAGTTTTAGGCTAGAAAATAGATAGTTAGTAAAGAATTCTCTTAGAAATATAAAAACATACTGTAAAAGACTTGAAAAAGGCATCGTCCACTACTTCAAGTCTCATTTTATACAAATAAAACACCTCTTCATTTTAAATTTCTCCTAACAAAGACCTAAACCCACCCTATAACCGACTATTTCAGTTACACTATATCTATAATCCAAATAGGTGATTACTTATTTAAACTCTCTGTAATACAACTTTACCTGTGTCATTAGAACATCTTTATTATATTTGTCAGTTGCAAAGTTTCAGATACTTGCTGTAGTCTTAGGACTATTTTATTCTTAAAACATTGTTGTTAAAGTTTTTTATATCCACAATCTGGTTAATTAGACTTTGGTAACTAATACCAAGTTTAAGGACAAGTACTTGTAAGCTGAAATCATTACCATTACCTACATCTACTTTACAGACTATCTACAATACCTCTGGTTTCTTTAAACTTTTAATTCAGATAGTTTGAAAGGACAATTTCTTCTCCAGTTCTCTAGCAGCCTAGTTGATATAATGTTTTTGCCAAACATCTTGTTTTGTTTAGTTTTTCAGTTTCTCAGGTGATGATCCTTTATATAGTATCATTAAAGTTTTTACTATCTCTTTATTCAGAACTTGTCAGACAGGCTTTTGTGTGCTTCAATTCTTGGATTTACTCAGCTGCTTCACTCAGATTTTATATAACTTATATGTTACACTATTATTTTACAACCTTTAGTACAAGCTGATATAACCAAAGCTACAGATCTAACAATCTATCAAATTATAATAACATATTCTATAAAATTCGAATTTTGTTACCAGTGGATTTTGAACTCTTGTTTTATTACTTGGGAGTGTAACAACTTATCAACTTCACTAAGTCATCATACCCTTGCTTTAATAATTAATAAATTTGTTTAAAAATATATTAATATATTTTTTTAGATGCTAAATATATTTTATTTTAAAAATAATATAGATTATCTTAATAAAATTTTGAGCAATTTTAATTTATTTAATTGTTTAAAATTATTCAAAATGTCTAAACTTACTGTTTACAACTGTTTTATAACAATATTATATATAGTATATAGGAAAAGTCAATAGAAATAGAACAAATTTATTAGATAGATTTGTCATATTTTTATTGACTTCACTCTATATATATATAATTAATCAAGTATATTCAAGACAAAACTAGCAAATTTTAGTAGCATTTAAAATAGTATTATTTTTAACAAAATAGCTAATAATATTATATTAAGATGTTAAATTTACTACTTTTATACTAAATATATAACCATTGTTTTTGTTTTTAACTGATTTATAAGATAAAAGGAGGTATAATAGCACAGAGGGTAATGTAGCACACCAAAAATCACTTAATTTGTAATTTATCAGAAATAGAAAGGATTTACATAATATAAATCGGGCAAATTACTTGAAATTAAATATGATATTCATTTCAACCCACAATTTCCAAGTATTACAAGCTACCATTTTTATTTTATATGTAGTACAAAAATGTATGCAATATTTGCAAATAAAATACTAGTAATTCTTTTGTCAAAAAAACAAAATTACTATTGCTTGGTCATTTTTGTGTTATTTTTATTCCGGTTGGGGATTATAAGTCAAAAATGAGCAAAAGAATAATAGATTGCCAAAAAAAAAGGTAGGTAAATCACACGCATAAGCTACAAAAAAACTTTATTTGATATTTTTTTGGCTTGAAACTGCAGCTTTAGCTTCTTTCACCGCTTCTTTCTTGTATAAAGATGAATACCGACCAATCCAGTTTTTAATTGTTTTGAGTTGTAGAATCTTGTCAGCCTCTAACTCTCCTGTATATACTCTTTGTTGCAGATCTTGAAGCATTTTTTTTGCCAAATATCTCTCACTTTTATCTTCGTCACCAGCATGAAAAAGGGTTTTCAAAATTTCTTTTACTGCCTCTGTCATACGTTTGCCTCTTCCTTTTTTCCCATATTCCTGATTTTCTTTCAAAGCCCAACCAGAACAAAAATAATTATTGTCCTTTAGCTTTTCCTGTTGAATTTGTATAATTTCATCTTTCTGTCTTTCTGAGTCTATCATTTCCTTATCATTAACTACTATATGCGAGTCATATTTATTCTTCATCTCTACAAATTAATTGATTAATAAGAAGTTTAATCAAATATAATAAAGGAATCTATATATATATATATACTGTACTCTTTATCATATTTGATGTTTCTTGTTGAATATTTGCTTTCAATAAACAAATTAAGTTTGTTCTGTTTTCTTCGTTATTATAATTCAAATTTCTTTGGTCAAGTTCTTTTTTGATTTCTGATATTGACAACCTAGTGGGATCGGGGCCTATAATAAAGAACGTTTGGTCCAAGTGAATATTTTTTATCGTACAATGTTTAATATCATGATTTATTATTATTATTATTATTTGAATGTAACCATCTTGACTTGTAAGTATAATTAATATTATGTGATGATAAATATTACAAAAATTATTCAGCCAATACAAATATACTATTGTTAAAATTTATACTGACTGAATAAAACAGTATTAATCGTTGTATGTCAATATTACAATTATGAATTGCTTACTATTTGATGGTAAAGAAACTATCCAAGATGAATTCATAATAATATGGTTTGATACTTTAGGATTTGGCCGAGATTGCTCAGTCTCACCTCTCGATTTACTAATAACAACTGATGAAAAATTATTCTAAGTTCCAAAGTGAGGTAGAGCCCACGTACAGATAAAACTCGCAAATTCTCCCTCTATTGGCCATTTGAATTCAAACCAATTCAATATTCTATTAATCTTTGGTTTTTTAATATTCTTGTAATTTCCACTTGGTTGAATATCAGCAACACTTGTGTCTTTAATATCTTTAATCACCTCTACTATATCTTCTCTTTCATTTATATTATAGCCTAGCCGAACATAACATTTAATAGCATGCGAAACCTGAAGTAAATATAGTCAGTTTATTATAGTCGGTCATATAGTTATTATTATATACAATTTAAAGTCAAAATTTTAATTATTCAGAAATTGAACAAATTGATCAAGTAAGTACAAAAATATAAAAATGCGATTGTTTTTTCAAGTCAACTAATTAACTAACTTTAGCAATTCTATTTTGTGTTATGAACAATACTTACCTGGGCATGATGAGAATCTATAGTTGTTTTAGCCTCTCCTGCTTTTAAAAAAGTTTAACTACGCACTTCAATATCGTACTATAATTTCCAGTTTGCAATTATTGTCATCAATTCAGCACAATGATAATGACCACCATTATCCAGGGATGGCAAATGACCTGAAATGACCCAAATGACCCAAATGACAAATGACTAGTCATTTGTCATTTCAAAGCCTAAATGACATTAGAAGGTTATTTAACATATGTTAATTAATATTCTAATACCTTTTACCAATTAGAATTGGCCAAAAAACAAATTAAAATATAATCAATAATCGTAGCTATATATCAAAATCAAAATTTTACTAAATTATGCCTTAAGTAAAGTCATTTAAGATAATAAAATTGTATATGCTCTGAAATATTTATAAATTGAATACCATTTTATTAATTCACTTCCACATCTTATATTTATATAAAAAGATTTTAAAAATTTTTATATAAATGTAAGATACGAAAGTGAATTAATAAAAAGGTATTCAATTTACATAAAAATTTTCAAAATTCACAAAATTTATGATCTTGATCAGCTTTAATATATAGCTTACGTTTATCAAGAATAGTAATAAAGCACAATAACTTTTATGAGTAATTCAATCAATAAAACAGCTTTATATGCAAATGATTTAAATGACCTAATGACCCAAATGACCTGGTCATTATTTGATGACTTGAGATCATTTCAATTTTGATCAAATGACCAGGTCATTTACCATCCCTGCCATTATTTGATATTATTTTTATCCAGGATGGTTTTTTGTCAAGATTATTAAAGACAACTTCGAAAGCCGAGGCAGTAAACTATGCATCCTGAACCGTGTCTGATGACCAATGATCAAAAGCATGAATTTCTAAACTTTCATTGTCAGGTGATTGGATGTATACTAATGTTGTATGTAAAGACCATCCAGATTTACCATAAAAATCTGATTTAATTTCGTGTGCTGATTTTGGAAGAATTTTCATTTTATAGTCAACAACGATAATAGCACCATCCTTATCTAAAGTAAGTAAATTTGCATTAAATTGTGCATTTAGATATGTTTTGCGAGCATGATGTGACCAATAATATTGTAGTTTTTTTCGATTTTCAGTAATTTTTTTAATTTCATCTGGTATTTGAGTAACCAATAAATCAAATAATTCCGAAACTTTGTTACATTCTTTACAGTTAGACTTATAAAGTTTAGAGCATTTTCTGAATGCGTTTTGAAAACAATGTTCAAGACAATCATCATGTGAAGTATACTCGAATAGATCTATTTGTAGTTCCTTTTCATATTCACGTTTTAAATGGCGTTATACAAGTTCAAGATTATTGATAAGTTTATTCTAAAAAAAATAATTTGTTGTTAGTTATTTTAATACGTTTGATTTTATTTATTTTTATTATACTTACTTGTTCATGGTTATGTAAAATTTTTTTATTAATTAGCTCCTTTAAATTATCAAATGTATCATAACCATATTCAGCACATGTAATACATAAGCCACCTAAATCATCTTTATAACAATATGGTCCATCTTTTAATCGTGTTAAAAATGTGGTTCTTTTTATTCTATTTGGATACAATTCGAAATATTTTTCCCACAATTTTTCTTTTTGATCTTTGAGATACTTTAACGGTAATCCATATTTATCTACTTTATAAGAGCTTAAATTTACTATATTTTTATCAGAAAAAAAATTTTCAAACTGTCTTTCATTTTCTTCACTAATGCGAACTCTTGTAAGTATAGGTTTGTCATGCATTAAACAACCTGGTCCATTAATGTTACAATATGCTCGGGCTTTAGAAATTGTTTTAGAAGAAATCTATTGAAGATTGAAAGAATTAACGAATAATAAATACAAAAATTTTAAATATAGGCTAAGTTTCATACATTAAGATTTTGCTGAAGTTCTTCATAACTAAAATTATTAGCAATTACTGAAAGAATTCAGATTTTTCCATTCATTTCATTTTTATTTTCTTCTAGTGACTTATAAAAACATTTCCAGAATTTATCACTTACATTAACTATATGAAATGGTGTTGTACGCAGAAAACCGTTATCATATAAAAGTTGCAAGATATCTTTATTTATAGAAGGGGTAGAGCTATATGACCAGAATTCATACTAAAATATAATAAAGTTATTATTTAGTTGTTTGACTTCGAATTTCAATTTTTTTAAACTTTACCTCAGACTCGTCTTTTTTTAAAAGATGTTATATTTGTACATCCGCTTGCTTTTAACATAGTTTTCTAAGCGCATAATTCACGTTCGTTAAATACATGTTGAGGTGGGTATAATTGTTGTAATTTTTCACGTAACTCAATAATTGGGCTTTGTTGAGCTAACCATTCATAAAAAAAGTTTTTCCAGTTTATATTCGAAATAGTTTTTTTTCGCAAATAATAATTATATATATTGCTCATCAGAGGTTCATTATTCCATGTGGTTGAATTACAAGTTAATACATTCTGATTACTAATAACTTTTTGGGTTATTGAATGTTCAAGACCAAATAATTATGTACTACGAAATTTTTTATACAGACCAATATTTTTCCAAGCATCATCGGGCGTTTTTTCCAAAGCAACAATTGATTCATTTTCTAATATATATATTGTAATTTTACAATTATCTTTTTCAATTGCTTGTACAAATAAAGCACGCTTTTTTTTAAATTCACCAATAAAAGATGATATATATCCAACGCCAGCTCCTATCATATTAATGTTGCTTACAATTCCTAAACTAGTTACATAAACTAGAAGATTTCCAACTTTAATAGCAAATGGACGAAATTGAATATCCTCTAAAGATGCTTCAAGTAATTCATTCTCATTCCATCCTAATATATATGGACCAGAAAATTTAGTTTTTGAATTTGAAAAAAGTTTTTGATATAAGCTTGTGATTGCTAAACTTGGAGTTGATTCAATTTTGCTATATTTACTACCTGATTGACTTCTATATCCTGGTTCTATTTCACTAAGTTCATGCCCTTCTATAATATGCATATAGAAACGTCTATTATTTTGTTCAAAAACAGTTTGCCAGCCAACTCTTATAGGAAATAAAAAAACGCTCTCTTCTACTGAACTGTTATTTTTTATCATTCACCAGTTTCGTGAATTAGCACCATAATGCAAACTAGGTACTATTTGGCCAAGAGAAATTAGTTTTATACTCAAATTTGGCCTTTTAGACATACTTGGTGAATTCAAATGAGTTCTGAGCAAAGATTCTAAACATATATATGTTTTTTATATGTTAATTATCCCAGATAATTATTATAAAGTTTATATTGCAGATCTTTCTATTTCTGGTGAATTACGAATTAATTAATTAATAAAACTATTATTTATTAAAGCTAATATATAGATTACTTACTTAAAGTTAGATTCGATTTATCTTTTAATTTAGCATCCATTAATTTTTCAACCTTAGAAACTTCTTCATCAAGGATACATTCAGAAAGAGTATATCGAGAAGGTGGTTGGTACTTGGGATTTAAAGTTTTAAACATATCAATTATAAAGAGATTATTAATAGTCTCAAAAAGAATTCTGACACATATCCATCCTTTTAAAATAGCACTATCAATTTGTCGCAGTCTTTCTTCTGATAATAGTTCTAATGATTCTGATTTAATTTCAATTTTATTTCACCTTCTGATAGTTTTTTCCTCTATTGCTAAATTGGCTCTCCAAATTTCTTTAACATCATAAGAAACCTCCATACATTCTTGTACCAAATGACGTTTAAAGATCTGTAGCTTTCCACGGTTCTATACACCTTAACAATATTTACAACTAGCTCTATAGTGCCCATCGTCTAAATGATCACCAATATTAATATAATCTCAAACTTTATCTCGCTTAGGTTCTCCATTACAACGTCTTTTTTTAAAATGGTTAAGTAATGAATTTTCTTCTTCTTCTGATGAGTTATTTTGATTATCTTCAATTTCTTGAGAAGATATAATTTCATTTTGGTTTTGAGAAGTGGAAGCTTGACACGTGATATTATAATTTAATTCAGATAATGGCGAATATGAACGTTTATTATTTAGAATGTGATTATTAATTGTAAAAAAAACTTTCGCTAATAGATAATAATTCAAGAAAAATATTTATTAAATTATTTTTATTATATCATCATTATGAAATTGTAAATTACAATTGATTAAT